TGCTCAGGCATTGTTAAAACAAGGTTTCCATTTGAGCATACAATTCAAAGGTGAAAAATGATTCAATTTACCGAAATTCACTTGACAGCCAAGGTTTCTGTTCCACGAAATGAGGACCTCCTCCCCCTCCCCTGAGGTAGGTGTTAGAGAGAAGACACTGCTGAAGACAGCAGGTCTCCAAGTGGGAGCTTGCCAGAATGCAGGAGCCAGGCCCTACCCAGGCTTAGGGACCAGATACCTTGTAGATGGGCCCAGAAATCAATGTTTAAAAACCTCTGAAAAATCTGAGTTCCAAAAGGATCAGGCTACAGGAAAATATAAGTCTGTATAAAGAAAAAGTCCTTAATCATATTTGCATCAGCCCTACATGGAGTAAGCTCCTCAGACCAAGATTCTCTACAGGTACTTGGCCTCCCCCACTCTTGGGCCTGGTCTGCCTCAGAGCAGCTGGGAGGCCCACAGAGGGGGCTGTTTCTGGACACTTGAACTCTAGGACAAGGTGAGAAAGGCAACATGCAGGCATCTCTCTCCTATCCTACACAGCATTGCTGGCCTTGCCCATTTCCTGCAGCTGTGGGGCTCACTGAAGACCAGACAGATCAACCCTTCCCAGATACAGGAAGCCTCCCATGTTGACATCCTGCAGCCCTGCAAAGAGGAGGCACTACTGGCTACTTGGAGAGGCAGTCCCTGCCCCAGGTCCCACATGGGGCTACACACGGCCTGTTGTACAGAGAGCAGCCCCCAGTGCCCATGCACAGCGGCCCTCCCCCTCCTCCTTCAAGGGCACTGCAGCAGTACAGCAGGAAGGGCACACTCCAGTTGGGAGGCAGGCCTGGGTACCCACTCAGAGCTGGCTCAGACTCCCCATGTGACTCGCCAGTGACCACCACCTCTGGCTCCAGCAGTTCCATGTGTCATATGGCAGAGCTGGGCTCAGATCCAGCAGCTTGGAATGAAGGACAAAACCATGAAAAGCTGCATCCCTGTTCCTCTTCCCAAGAAATCCCTGCAACACATACTGAAGATGGTTCTTTGACCCTGAAGAGCAGGAGGATGAAGGGATGTGGCTGCCTCCCCAAGATCCCAGTCACACCCATGACCCTCACCTCCAACACACCAGACCCAAAAGATCAATCACTGATTTGAAAGATTATGGAGAGAGACTCTATGGATGGATGGATGGATGGATGGATGGATGGATGGATGGATGAATGGAAGGAAGGAAAGATAGGGAGATGGATTAACAGACACATATGCACTACATGTATATGTCTAGTAGAAAACTAGGCAAAAGTTACATGTAATCATCTGCCACATAGCAAGATTCAGCACAATGACAGACTAGGTATACTATAGTTGTCTTTCGGCCTTATAACTACTGAGAAATCCCATAACCTAGAGGTGCCATTACCGTGTTAACATCCCTCATGTGTTTGTGGTGAGGCTAGTGGAAACACCTGCCTCGTTGCCAGTTGTGTAAAAGCACAACACATACAATTACGTATAGTACAGGATAGCTGACTCAATTCTTGGCGCAGGCATCTATTAAATTATACTATCATTCTTTCACAGTGTACTTAATTCCTAAGTTTATATAAAGCAGTATGCCATGTTATACAGCCTCATGCATCCCCTGTTGACAGCCTTCTGACAGCACTAAGTGGTCATGTGGAGTGAGTAACTGGACCATCTAGGTCCTTTGTTCCTGTTCTGTGCTATGATTGCAGAGACCACCCAGCCACCCCATTCTCTGGTGGTCCTGCCATTAAGAGGCATGTACACACAAAAGAATACTGCCCACTCCCACGCACTGGAGCAAACAGGCAGGCTTTCTCCTTATTTTCAAGTATTTCTAGAGGCCATCACTTGCTGGTAGCATCTGTGCAGACAAGCGTTCATAGACAGCATAGTTAGAAAGGCAGCAGGAAGGTATAGCCCGAGGGCTGACCAATCTCTACTCTACCCAGCCCAGGCTAACAACACAATGCACAGCTCTTAATGCTGCATCATGCCCATGCAGAATGAGCTCTTGGCCTGACCCACCTAAGTCATGACCTCTGTTCTCATGCTGGACATCTCAGAGCACTGTGATAGGCGTGGTTCTCAGGCCAAACCAGCGGTTCTCAAACTTGGACACTTTATAATCACCTAGAGTCTGACTAGAGGACACACCTGCTTGGAGCCCATGCCCAAATGCTACTTACCTGGGCCATGGGGAAGGTTCTTTGGCATCTTGCAGTACTCCTAGGGACGTCAATGGCATTGCACAGTGCAGTGAGATGGGGCACTGCTCCCGTGCCACAAAGGTGTTTAATTTGGAACCTTAGGTGAAGATGCCCTTAGAAGCAGTCCTGAAGCTCATATGAGATTCAGAGAGACATGAGATTCTTCCTTGGGGGCTAACAGTGGGGTAAGCATTCCTAGACCTTGAGGCTTGGCAAGGTGTTCAGAAAGCCCCCTTGAGGCAGGTCCTCCCACAGACCTCCAGACCACAGACCTGATAGATTTTTCTCTCAGCTTAGCCTTCCCCAGGGGGCTCCCTCGCCCTGCCCATGCCCCAGCCCATCCCTTTCCTTCCTCAGTAGGTCTTCCACCCCTATAGCACTTACTCAACACCCTTGCCTTTTTGAGGCTCTGCTTGGAATGCAGCCCTCCCAGCACAGGCTCAAGGCTCTTTTCTTCCCAACTCCACGCTGGCCTATCTTTCCAGCAAGGAGGAAGGAGGAGACTTCTCATTCCTCAGCTACAGTGCAGGGGAGCAGGGGAGCACGTGGCTCTGGACACATTCGAATGTACACACAGCACTATCCTGGCTGTGAGCTTCCAGATGATGGGCAAGGAAGCAAGAAATGGACTCTGAGTGAGCAGCCTCATCTTCAGGTGGAGGGAAACACCACTGACCTGTAGGTTGACAAGCTGTGTATGCTCATGAACACTAAAGCCAGAGCTTGCTCTATTAGAGCCTGTTCCATAAGCACTGGCCCTGGGTTAGGCCATCTCTGCCTGGGCTTTCTCTCCAACTGTTCTATGAAGCCAGGGCTGGTTCTCAACCCTCCCCTCTCTTCCAGAAAGCCTCACTAGATTGTTCCACATGGCCTAATACCCAGTGTCTACCTTTCCAGAACTCAGACCTAAAAGAAGCAGGGTAGCATGGAGTCCTTTGCCTCATGAGGGAGCCACTCAGAGCAGCAATGTCTCTGGAGTATCGGAACCCTTCCTGCTCCCCACAGACTGCAGCATTTAACACAGTGGTTCTAGATGCTAAGTATTAAGCTTTCCTCCATTATACACAAAGGAGAATTAAGGTGTCATGTGCCCTTCGAAGATGAGGTAGAAAGCATATCAGGACTCAGAACATGCTGTTCTAAAGCAGTGCATCCTAGTGACAGAGGGCATAGGCTACCTAAATTCAGGTTCTACCTCTGTCTTGAATGAACCGTGTCTTTAAGCAAGGTGCATGACCACCTTGGTTTTCCATTTCTTAATCTATGAAACAGGAGTGCTAACAAACAGCCTCCACATCTGTATTGTCCTCTTACTGGCCCCTCCCTGCTCACCTGCAGTCAAATGCCTGTCCCTCCTTGGGGCCTGCTCTTCACAGCTCTATCTTACCTCCAGAACCTCCTGGGAGCTTCTGAATATCATGTGACTATGACAAGCCCAGGTTATGGTTTAATCTGTCTGGACTGTGGCTTGTGGTTACTCTCCTAACAGTTCCCCCTGGTGGGTGGCTGTGCAATTATGGTCCAGGTTATCCTCTTCCCAGATTACTCACCTATTCCTATCCTAAGCCACCTGGGAAGCTCCTCCCAGCTGCACCTGGCCCTCCTTACATCCATGCCCTACTCACATCTTATCACTCTTGCTTCAGTCAGAACACACCTGTGGCAAACCTGGCTCATTCTCCCCAAGGCTCAACTGCGGGGTTCAATTAAACTGTACACAGCCCCATGCAGGACCTCTCATCTCCTGAAAGCCAACAGTAGGACCAAGGATCTCAAGCTGGAGGGCAGGATTCCTGTGTTTTGAATTTCCTCCCACTGTATACCCCATCTGGGCCATGCCTCAGTTTTCCCTTTGGTAGGGCCTGGAGTCCACTTCTGGGCTGGCAGCAAGGCAGACATGCCATGCAGGGAGCACCTCCCTCCAGAGAGGCTTTACAAAGAAGCCACTGGCTGCAAAGCTGACCAGCAGGAGCTCTGTTTAACAGGACTGCAGATTAATAAAGTCTTCAAGTAGATGGTGCTTGGGAAAACTGTGTGGGTCCAGAGAGAACAATGCACCCTTCCATCTGGATTGGAGCCCTGCCCCCAGATGGAGGCAGCCCACCCTGCAGGACAGTGGCTGTGGAGAGGTAGGAGGGCTCAGAAATGCCCATCCAACCTCCTCCCAACCTACAAGGGGAAGTTGGGAGAATGGTGGCACAAGATCCCTGGATCTTGCCAGGAGCTTTGCCTCTCCCTCAGGATCTGGGAGCTATTGGGAGACACTTTCAGTTACCCTCAGGATCATTTGGGGGGGGGGCAAGGATGCTCACGTCCTGCCACATGTAACCACATCCAGCACAAGCTGTCTTACATGAGCCCTACATTAGACTCGGCCTTGGGATTGGCTGCTACTTTCCACATTAGCATCTGCTGAATCCAGCAGACAAGACAGAAAATGACCCCATGCCCATCCTCAGCTTACCAGGTACTCTGCAGCCCAGCCACCACTACAGCTGCATTCATGCTGCCACCAGACCCAGAAGGCCTATGAAAAAACTCCCTGACAGCTGCCACTCAGGCCATGCCCTGGGGGAGATGGCAGCCACACCTACCCACCTAGAACAGCCCCAGGAAGCCCAGGCCACACTAGCCTGAGCAGGGCTACCCAGGGTCACTAAGCAGGGCAGATACAAGCCACCACGACCCCAGAGGGCTTTCTGAAGGCCCCCAAAGTCACACATCCTCCCATGTCTCCTGAGAACACCAGAACTACTCTGCCACCTCACTCACCAGGAGAGGACTCATTCAGACCCAGCTGCTCATTGGCCCTCTGGATCTTCTCCAGGCACATGGCTTGCTCCTTCTTGAAGATGCAGTCAGAGTGCATGGCAGTGGCCTACAGGGCACAGGGAATAGAGAGTTAGAGGGTAAGGAACTCCACTGACAGCCTTCTGCTTAAACTCGGAGCAAGGTGTTGGGGGACAGAAGCAGGAGAGTGACAGATCTCAGAGCAGCAGGGGCACCGATCCCACATGGGTTGTACCCAGACCCCAACTCAATGTGTGAATCCATGGTGTCCTGGGCTTCGGTCTCTGTGCTATAATGACATCAGCAAGCTCCTGCCAGTTGTCTAATGTGTGTGCACTCTTTTAACTGTACTTGCTTGAGCTCAACAGCACTGTTAAGTCAGGGCTATTTTTTTTTTCATCAGTTTCTACTGCATATGTGGAACTAAGTAGAGAGAGGTTATTTAACTTGCTCCAAGTCACATGGCTTCGTAGGCCACGTGACAAGATTTGAACCAATACTTTGGCTTCTGCTGCACCTTAAGAGGAGGTAAGGGCTGTGGGCTGAACACCACCAAAGCAAGTCTGCACTGCAGCAGGCAAAGGATGGTTGGTAGCATGCAGGGGCCTCCTCACTGCTCTAGTTTAGAGGCAGAAACACAGGCTCGGAGACAGTACAAAGCCGAGCTTAAGTCCCATAGTTGGACCAAGAGACTTCATAGCCAAGCCATGCTATCATGACAGCTGCCCCCAAAGCTGACATTTTCATCAAACTCCAGGACACAGATGGTTCCCTTACGGACAACTTTAAGTGTAGGCGTGACAAGGAATCTGAGCTGCCAAGGGCCATGTTCCAAGACACATCCAACCATGTCGTGTCACACAGGGAGTTAGAACAGGAGTGGGCTGGATACACAGGGCTCTGAGGATAGCCTCATCCTCTGCTGGTCCAAATGGAGCTCTCCTCTTCCCACTCCTCATTTTCACTCTTGCTCAGGAGAGATGTGAGCAGAGGACAGACTTGTTAAGTTCAGCTCTCTCTCATGGACCTCATGGGATGGATTACTAGAAGACCAAAAGTCTTCTGTAGCCCTAACCAGGGTCTCTGCATATAGTTGGGCACTGTGTCACCATCTTAATCAATTTGTAAGTTTCACAAAAGCTCCCAGTCTAATCAGTCCCGTCTTGAGGAAGATCGTTTCTCTAATTCATACCACAAAGGTACAGGTGATCCATTGGTGGTAGGGTGCTATGGGTGCTGGCCAAGACACCAGCCTGGGCAATAGCTTGGCTGAGGGCACAGGAAAGTCTCCAGAGGGAGGCTCAGATGAGCCCCAGCTTCAGAGGAGCTCATAGGGAGGATCTGGGCCCTTACCACAGACAGCAGGAGAACAGCCAGAGACACCTGCAGCATCCAGGCCATAGCGGTTCCCAGTCAATACCTGTGGCAGCTGCTCCTAGCAGTTCAGTCAGCGGCTGCTGTCCACACACTGAAGTAAAAGAAAGACAGGCGTCCTGAGACCAGCATCATGTCATCCGCAGTCAGCTCCCAGCAGAGCACAACCGACATGAACATCGGCTGCCTCAGCCGCCAGGCTACCGAACTAGAGTCGCTTTCTCTGCAGCAGACCAGCTGTCTGCAGTAGCAAAAGCTTTAACTAGTACACACATGCCCACCTAGTGATAACATTCGCCAGTCTCCCTCACTCTCAGGCATACCATGAGCCTTTCATGCAGCACTTCTCCTCGAGGGCACACGTGCTCCCAGCGCCTGCCTGCACTTTCCAGTCTAAGTGCTGGGCCCAGGTCTGCCAGGATAATATCCCAGGGGTTGGAAAGCGACACTGGGAGAGAAGCCAAGGCTCTCTGAGTGGTCTGTGGCAGCAAGCCACCCCTCCAGCCTAACCCCAAATAGCTCTGTTGACAGAGAAACAGAGAAACGAACTTCGAACTTTGACGTAATCTACTCACTCTGAGGGCCTCTTTGTTTCAGCCGCCCCAGGTTGAGTTGACAAATAACCCTCCTTTTATCCTACCCCACCCCACTTCACTCTCAATGACTACTGAAGGCTGTGATTACACCTCAAAGCTGCAGGACCTCCAAGGACAGGTGTGTAAGGACTGGGGCCCCAGAAGGGTTACAGGTTACAGGAAGCTGAGATTGCAGGAGCTGAGTTTATCCAGCTAGAATCTGCTCTGATTCTAAAACTGATCATTGATCCATGTGCCCTGCCACATAGGAGCTCTGCAGCTGGGAAAGAGTTGTCCTTGGACGGAAGGCAACCTATGCAAGACTGCTTGCCGTAGCATCGTTCAAACACCATCGGCACCGAAGGGCAGCACAGCAGGCACCACACTGGCCCTGCTACGCAGAGCACTGCCCTCCCTTCAAAATGGAGGCAGTAAAATGGCAGCACTACTACTTTTTATAGAAAGGATTAAGTAGGCCTGTCAGAGGACAGCTAACCCAAAAGTGCCTTGTCCAGGAAGCCATAAGGAGATAAAACAAGGCTGCCCCCTGCACCCACATGTCCTGTGGGTTCAGCTGTTGTCACCCATGCCTCTGTGCCCCTTGGCTTGGCCTTAGTAGCCTCCTTCAACTCCTTTTAGCTCAAATAGGTGATACATAATTGCCCAAAACCAGTAGCAGGGAGACTCAAAGAAGGGAATGCCGCCCCCCAACCCCCACCCCAACGCACAGCTCACTCACACACTCTTGGATCTGAGAGGTACTCAGAGACGTGTAGGGAGAGGGGAACAGGGAGAGCTGGGCAGGCTGGAAGATATCTGAGACCGGACAGAGGTCAAGCATGCACTTGTATTCCTACACTCCTCCAGGGCCTCATACTCTCCTGGTGGCCATAAGCTGCCTCTGGTGTATCACTGGAAGTTCTCCCAAAGATGCAGTCACCTCTACCAGTCTGGGAGCCCAGGTATAGCCTGTGGAGATGGCCTCAGGCTTGGTTGGGATGGAGGAATGTCTCTTCCTGGGGTCCTCAGCAGGGGTAAGATGTCGTCTCTCTCAGCCAGTCCGGGCCTCTGAGCTCAGAGCTGACTCTCCCCCACTGTGTACAACCTCAAGCTAAAGGGTTCAGAACAGAGCTCTGGTCCCTGGAGAAACTGCAAGATGGCACAGCAGCACCCCCTTTCAGGACCAGGCTGCCCCAAAGACGCCTCTACCTCCTAGGCCAGACCCCAGCCTGGTACAGACTTGGGCCACCTGCCCAGGAAGGTAAAACCCTCCTGGCCCACCAGGTGACACCATGCAGTTAGGCGCCACATTAACCTTTCTGAGAACCATGAGCCCTGCACAGGACAGAGAGCTGGGGCTGGAAGGTTTCCTCTGGGGGAAGGTACACAGTGGCAGGGAACCTGGAGGACTGGTCCTCCATCATTCATCTCCTCTCTCTCCCTATCTACCTCTATCTCTCCCTCTCTCTTTCAGTCTCTCTCTCAATCCCCCCCCCCACAAGTCCACAAATGAGCCTAAAAACATATCATGACCATGCAGACAAAGCTGCCTTTATCCTCAGGGCTGCTCCCAAAAAGCATCAATACGAACATCTTTGATGGCATCTCCCTCACATGCCCCTTCATGGAGACCCAGAACCACATACAGAAAACTGCTTCAGGATATGAGGATGCTACCGCACCGACCCATTGCAAGCCTGTGGATGGATGGAGTCCCCCAGACAAATCGTGATCCTGGAGAAACGTGGAACTTGTCCAGTAGCCATGAGTGTGTGCAGGTGAGCATGCGTTCTCTGTAGGAAGGCTGGGTTCAAGATTGCTCCTTTGCCACAGCTTCTGGGAATTAAAGTAAGGCAAAGGAAAGACTAAGGCCTAACTCTACACACTGTCATCAGGCGCCCATGTGCCCAAGCCTGTGACACAGGGGAAAGGAACGGAGTACTGTCAAGCTAGGTAACTTTCAGGTAAGGTCTCCTCTGAGCTTGAAGCAGGGCTCTGTATTCCTGTTGCTACCCCACCTGTTTCCCACCACAGCCCACGCTACCCAGGGGGCCAGACATGTCCAGCCACCAGAGGGCAGCTAGGACCTGAGAGGGTTCAGGCCCTGGCTTCTCTTTGTCTTCCTCAGGGGACCTCAAGGAGCAGTGATTGCCCTCTGCCCTTCCAAATGCTTCTGCCTTATCCCCATCCTGCCCCAGCAGTAGCCAGCATCTGCCCTTCTAAATATCTACTTATCCAAGTGCTTGGTGCACAGTCCTCCCTGGGCAGGCTTCCACAATGTGCTCCCTAGATCTGCCACCCCAGCCCATTGTTCCTTCTACCCAGGTGGCTTCTGCCTCAAATTTCCCTGGACCTGCAGGTGACCCTATTACAGAATAAGCCAGGTCACCTCAACCCAATCAGATACCCTTACCATAAAGATGGATGCCAGGCCCTTGGACTTTGCTACCTTGCACCTCCATGCCCTCTCCTGGGGTCCAGCTGGCCAGGAAGCTCTGAAGACAGCGAAGCTCTACCTACAAGCTCTTAGTAGGGCAGAAGTGGGAAGCTTTCTCTGGAGGTGTTAGCCTAGGCTTCAGACAAAGTGCTTAGACCTCTGGCTTAGCCTCCACATGTCATCTGCAAAGAGGGAATGACAACCTTGCTTATCCCACAGGCAGCATCTGGGGATGAACCACAACATGGAACCTGTGAGGACTACCTGTGTCCCCTTCTGTGTTCATGTTTCTTGCACCCACTTGCGGTCACCTTCACCCCATATTACATTCACTGCAGGCCTGCCAAACTTTGCTAGTAGCCAGTACTCACTAAGCACTCAGTATATACCGGGCACTCTTCCAAGCTGAGTATGTATCAACTCCTGTAACCTGCCTGACATCTATGGATTAGCTCCTGACACCATCGTTCTGTAGGAGAGGTGATGAAGGCACAGAGAGATGAAGCAACTTGCCCAGGGTCACACAGGAAGTCCCCCATGGAGCCAGAAAGTGCTTCCAAAGCATATGCATCCCTGGGCTTCAGTTATTCTGTTACTTGTAAAAGAGCCCGCTGAACCCCATGGTGACCCCTCATACCCTCAAGGGCTGCCCAGATCCTCCACTACCCCACCCTATGTCTAAATAGATGCAGGAGACCTGTACCCATCTCCCTCCTCAGGAACAGTAGCTATGAACAGGACACGTCAGTGCTGCCTGAGACCAACTTGAAAAGCCACTTCCCCGAGTGGAAGCAGACATCACAGGAAGAAAGCAGCTTCCCATGGTTACACAGTGTAGAGCCCAGGGGCTTGCCTGGTAGGAACAGGATACGTAACAGATGCCTGGACTCCAAGCAGGGGGTCTATAGGACCCCACAGCATGCCTGTCCCTCCAGCCAAAGGAGGTCTGCCCTCCCCAGGCCCCCACAGTCCAGAAGCCAAGCTGAGCAGTAACTGACAACAGTAGCCACATCACCATCAGCATACCAGAGAAGTGGTGACTCACAGGCCTTACAATTTTCCACATCAAAAGAAGAGGGGATTTGCAGACCCCCCCCCCCCGTCCGAAGGTGCCTTTACTGCACCAACCCCAGCCTTTGGCTGCTTCCACCAGGGGCTTGGTTTCTGCTGCAGCTCACTCACCCCTCCTTCTGCAGCTGACTCAGGACCTCTAAGGGAGTCTAGTGTCTCTCCGCATTGGTCTCCACCAAATCCAAACTCCTCTGCCCCATGAAGCGCTTACAGAGTCCTTCTCCTAGCCACACAGCACTGGGCTCCACATGTACCCTGCACAGGGATGGGAATGTCAGAGCCCTCTCCTACAGGGAGGGAGCAAGACATCAGGGGGTGAGGAGGAAGTAGGAGAGGCTAAACCAGTCTGAGAGCCGGGAACACTGGAGGGCTATACCAGGAAAAGGGTTGGCACTGAGGAGTTCTGAGTGGAAGGCTTGGATCAGGCAGAAACGGTAGAAAGCAAGCAGAACTCTAAGGTTTGGGACAACATGAGAGCAAGGCCTCCCTGGTCCACCTCTGGGGACGTGGCAGAAAAGAAATGTCCTGGGAAGAGAGCAGGGCAAAAAAACATCAGAGGGGAGGGAGGGCTTGCTATCCAAGCCATGGATCTGCATGGGGGTATTCTGAGGTGCCTAGGACAGAGCAGTCAATGCTCCCGGCCAGTGCTCCCAGCCAGTGCTCTGTATAGCCAATCCACGAAGGCAAGGAGAGCCAGGCACTGCTCAGAGTCCAAGGAGAGCTGGGAGGATTGAGGCCATGGTTGCCTCCGAACACCACCTCCAGGAAGTCCACCACTGCACCTGCTCCTTCTACCCACTGACCCCTAGACCGCAACCCTAAATGAAAAGCCCCTCTGTCCTGCCTGGACTATTCAGGTCTTGCCAAGTTCACTGTGAGCTCCAAATGCATGTGAGGTTGTGGGTGGTCTCTCACCTCACAAGGCGAACAGGAGAAGGGGCTCAGGAGCCACTTGAGTCTTCACATCTATAGCGTTTAATGCATGCTGTCTTTGGGTGTCTTCAGAGATGTGGGTCCCCAGAGCACAGTGGAGGTCTCCTCCAGGGCTGACCGTTAAACAGATAGGCACTGTAAGCTCCTGGGAGACCAAGGGAAACATCTAGTGTCCTCAAGTATCTCAGGATCCAAGACCAGACACTCCCTTTCTTAAACCTCTTTGATATCTTCTCTTTTCTAACCTTTGATCCCAGGAGCTTGTGAACCCTTCTAGCCAGTCAGATTCAGCTTGTCCCCTATTTTTTGACAACCATCAAGCCAAGAATGGTTTGTACATTTCCAAAATGGTCAGGGAATTAAAAGAACTGAATTTCATGACATTAAAACACTGGGTGTCCACAAAGTTTATCAGAACACAGCCAGGCTTAACTGCTGTTCACGTGTCCTCTGTTGTTGCTTCTGGGCCACACCTGTACAACAAAGCCACTGCAGCCAAGAACAATAGCCACAGAGCCTAGAATATTTACTAGATTTATGAAAAGAAGTTGTGACTTTTGTTCTAAGCTCATACAACACAGCCTACACACACACACACACACACACACACATTATTCTTCGTCAGGGCAAAGAAGGGTCATGGTGGATTAAAGCTGTCGCAGCACACGTGTGTAAGAGCATACACAGTACAGCATGTGTGCAGGTGCACATGCTCAAATAGGGTGTTATCAGGCAATTACACCATCATTACAACACAGCCTACACACACACACACACACACACACACACACACACACACGCGCGCGCGCACGCGCACACACACACACACACCATCCCCATTCAATTCAGCATGCATTTGGATCTTCATTAAAGAGGCTTTTGTGATCTGAGTCCCCAAGTGTGCCCAGATCTTGTACAACGGCATCGGGCTTCCTGGTGTTGCCTACCCCTGTTGTGTCCCAGCTTCCAAGCAGGTGTCACAGGAAGCCTACATGCCTCCCCAGCTGTGTGTCACTCCCACTCTGTGTGTCACTGTGGGGGTGGCTTTCACTGTGTGCCTCTGACGGCATCCAGAGCTCAGTACAAACACATTACAGCTAAGGGGTTTCCAGCCTCCATGTTGACAGGCAGCTGGACTGTGAGGCCCAATCCGTTCAGACCTAGAATCCCAGATCCTTCTATTCAGAAGTGACAGACAATTCCTGAGGCCTCTAGACTTTCTAGAGGAAAAAGCCCCTGCACTTCCTGTCTGGGGCATCACAGCTGTGCTGGTCCATGACCTCTGCTCTTACCATCACACCTCAAGGTCAGATCCAAGGTGAGTGACTCACCAGTGAGCATGGCTCTTCTGGTCCTGAACTGGGCATCCCAGGCCCTGCCCTCTGGCAGGCAGCACAGGGCCCTTCACTTACTCGATGCCAGCACTGGCCAGTAAAATCCATCCCTGGGAGACCACCTCCCCAGGGAGATAGTCAGCTACTGTGCTTCCTAGCCTTCCAGCACACAGAGGTGTATAAACACCCCCTGAGTGTATTCTGTTATTCAACACAAATGGAAGCAGTGTCTGAAGTAGGAACATGGCACAGAGAGGTGATCACGTGAAAAAATGGGCTCCAAAATGCTCCTCTAATCAGCCCCCTGTGAGCCTGAAGATTGCACAAAACCAGATGTGAATGTAGGTTTTAGCCTTTCTTGGTCTTTGGAATTCAGAAAGGGGCCCTCTCATAGGCACCCCCTCAGATAAGGCCCTCACCACACAGGGGCAAACAAACCCCCAAAGATCTTGGTACAGACGCCCCTCACCCACCCATGAATCACCACTGATGGCAGGCAGGAAGGATCACATCTGGCTCCTGGTCGCATCGCACACACTTGTTGATGGATTGGTCAGAAGATCTGGCTCACAGCGCGATCCATTGTGTCCTGTCTTTAATTTGTGTGTTCAGATTTTGGCTTGTATCCAGACTGGAGCCTTTACCTTCTCTCTCCAAGGTCACCAAGGAATTGGAGCCCCTGGCCTCAGCTTGGGATGAGGGTCTCTGCCAGCCTCACCTACCACTGCACCAAATGCAGCTTGGGGCCTCCTGAGCAAACCTAGTGTCCCTTGGCTCCAGAGTCAGTCACAATACCCCATCCTCTTCCGAAGCCCATAGGCACCTGCCAGCCTCCAGCCTGACCTTCAGGATGGTCTGCCTTGGGACAACTGCGATCTCAGGGCAAGCTGCCCTCCACATCCTCTGTGTAGTTCTTTCCACTCCTACACAAGCACACACAAACACACCCGAGTTGCTCACAGGAAAAGCCAGGGGCTTGTTTTCGTCTTTGTTTGGGGAGTGGAGGGTTATGGGACACAGGCTGGATGAGGTAAAGAAAATAACGAAAAGCAGCCCACACTTGTACTAGAAGGGTCTGAAGAATTAGCAAGGCCCACCCCCATCCCAGGACAGTCTAGAGGGCTCTGAGCTCCTTCTAGGATTGAAGCTCCACCCTCCAGCCCCAACTGAAATGCCATCACCGTCCTCTTCAAGCCGATTTGCTCCTAAGGATCTAGTTCCCATCCACCAGTGCCTATTCCCATCTGCCCCTTGAACCTGCCCAAGTCATACTGAGGACGTGGCCCGTGCTCCCAGCAGCTGCTGCGGAGCCTGGGCCTTTAAGACAGCCCGCAGGGGTCTCGTTGGGCCCACTTCAGTACCACCCCCCAAACCCCTGGGAAGCAGCGCGTTTTCCCCACAGGCCCCACAGGGCGATTCCTTAATAGACCACCAAAACCTAGCCGCTCAGACCCCAACCTCTCTCCACCACGGGACACCGCGGGACTCTTTTGAACCAACCTGAATGTTACCACCATAGGGAGACATTCTAGACTGATCTCTACCCTACCCCCACCCAGCACATCCTTTGCCCATCCCTCAAACCGCACGCACACTGCGGCACATAGCCCCCTAGAGACCCTCCAGCGTTGCCTTCCAAATCCCGGTAGGCGCGCCTGTACGCCTTAGAGAGAAGGAGCTGATCTCTCAGGGTCTCTCTGGCCGCAGTGTCATCTCTGTCCCTGCATGTCCCTTTCTAGCACCAGAACGGGCTGGAGACCGCTAGGCCGATCCCCACTCCTGTGGTCTGCAGGGATGCTCGACCCAAGCACCCGGCGCAGACACTTGAAGCGCGCAGAGCTAAGCGCGGGGAGAGGTCAGGATGTGCCCGGCGCGGGTCGGGTCGGCGGAACACGCGGCTCCCGGGCTCCGAGCTGCAGGGGGGGGGGGGGGGGCAAGGTCCCCGCGAGAGAAGGGCTGGCGCGGGGCACCGGCTGCGGGGCACAGGGACGAGGGGGGCGGCGCTTACCTGCTGGCTGCGGGG